ACTATAGAAATTGAACAAAATAATAAAATAAACTTTCTGGATATCACCTTACATCGCATTAACAATACAGTTAAAACCATGTGGTGTACAAAAGGAACATGGTCTTCACGTTATCTTAACTACAATTCCCATCATCCAGTTTCCCATAAGAAGTCTGTAATTATAAGTATCGCTGATTAAATCTATAAAACTAACAGATCCAGAATACAGACCAACTGCAATAAAAAAGGCAAAAAATGCCCTTCTAAAGAAAGCATATCCCGAACATCTAATCGAAACTTTTTTCAAATCAAGACTCAATAAATTTTATAACAATACAACTAACAACGAACCCAACAGTATCAAAACCACTTATATAACTCATCCATATATAAAAGGTTTATCCGAACAACTAACAAATCTTTTAGCCAAACATAATATAACAGTGGCCCACAAAGGCAATAACCTCTTAAACAAATATTTCACAAAACTAAAAACACAAACCCCAAAACTTAAAAAATCACATGTTGTTTACGAGATACCATGTACTAACTGTAAAGGTGTCTATATCGGTCAAACCAGTCAACTGCTTCAATCCAGAATTCGTTCTCACAAATATGACAAAAACAAGGTCACTGCGCTCACAAAACAAGAAGGCGGGAAGAAGCATAAATTTGATTTTGAAAACCTCAAAACTTTAAAAACAAAACAAAACAAAAAGGAGAGGGAGATATACGAATCAATAGAAAAAAAAAGAAACACCAACGCAATAAATGACAAAAAAGATACACAAAACCTAAATAAAATATATTTCAATCTGATTTAAACAATAATAATATAACATCATAAAAAGCTATTAAAGTCATAACATATCTCCACCTTAACTTTTTCGAAAACATCAACGATCCGCCCATATAAAAATAATTATATACCAATGACAGTAAACAATGAGATATCAGATATCAACTTTTATTCGTCAGTTCGTTAATGTCTGTGTCACGTTTTACGTTTTGGTAAGTTATATATATATATATATATATATATATATATATATACAAATTTTACAATATGTGTTTGTCCTTAGACATATACATTTTAGAATTTTGACAAAGGCAAGAGTTTCCTGCCGAAACGTTGATTCATTGCTATGGAAAATAAAATCTAGTTCCACATGTAATACATCTTTATTGAACCTAAACCCAAGAAACATTGGCTAGTTTATTTATTTTGAAGACGTTTCGCTTTTGTATTCCGAAAGCATCATCAGTTCGTCTAAAACGTACAATATGACAAACATGGAAAAGTTGTTATAAGTGTTACGTTAAAAAGATATGTAGCAGTCAATGATATTAAAAAGGTGAAAAAACTCAAGTAATAAGCACGGTAATATTGTATAAACAATCAATTAAACTAACAACAATTAACAACTTATTAAAACAGCACAGCAAAAGAACATGTGGTCTAATATACATGTATATGTAGTATAACATTAAGCAAAGATTGAAGAACTAAGAAAATCATAGATGCACTTCCAACGATATATGAAATATTTATGGTTTAATTTTAACCTTTGGTAGCATTATTAAAGTGATTATTATTTAAAATTTAATTATATAATAATAAATTTAATAATATAGTGTATAATGAAGTTACCAATCAAGGCTTCACGACTGCTTACGGTAAAATGGCGTTAGATTGAAGCAAACGGCACTAAAACAACGTGAAAAGACAGCCAACCTTGAGGTCATAAAAATATGACAGAGCAACAAGGTTGAGATACCAACCCTAATTATAGAGCGGTGTATTTAAAAAAGTAAAATGAGTTTGAAAGATAACCCGTCTGTAAGAAACCAAACAATAAAAGAAAATTGGTATTGGAAACATCAATGTCTCCCATCGATCAGCTTAGAACGAACAAACAAGTGAAGTCAGTCCAAACTCATATATGTAAAAATCGTCAACGTGTAGCTGGATAATCAGCCACAGGTGAAAAAAACGATCATAACTTCCAACAGTCCAAGGTTCATACACTTGGAACTGTAATTTATAAGAGATTCTATGAATCAATTTCATTATTATGTATTATACTATTTAGTCAAGAGACAATTTACACAAATTTGTATATATGCAGTGATGAAAGTAAACGCAATGTAAGTTGCATAAGTATATATGAATTAAATAATAATGTTGATTTATTTTATTTATGTTATGAATTTATTTTAATATGTTAATAGTATTTTATAAATTATTAACTAACAAATGTGTTAAACTGTACATCTTACAAGACAATTATAAAGTAAATAGCTTATTAAGCCTAATTCTGCAATATTAAAGCATGGTATATTTGGCTCAAGTTACTTATGTCAGTTCTCTTATTAAGAGCATTCGAGTGTTTAAGAATTGAACACATGTTGGGCTAAAGCACAGGTGTGCTTTGATAAATTAATATCACTACGATGTGTAGTAAGACGTCATCTTAATGATATCCCAGTCTGACTGATATAACATGAATCACACTCAGTACAAGGTATATGATAAATGGTATTAACTTGTTTCAAAAGGGACAAGGGTGTTTTAGTTTTTGAAAACAAATTTCTAACAGTCTTAGCATTCTTGACAGCAATTTTGACAGGTATGTTATTCTGTTTATACAATTTATTAAGTTTCTCACTAACTTGAGGAAAATAAGGTAAAGATGAGAAATGGGTAGTAGGATTCCCAAGATCAGTATTAGGCAGAACAATGCTATTAATTGAATTATTTGATATTATTCTAAGTTGGTCACCATCAGGTATGTCATCAAACAAAGAGCCATAGCTTTGTGAATAAAGGTATTTATTAATGAGAGAGGAAGGACATGAATTCTCAATTCTCAATTCACTCTCGGTATATATATATATAATGAATACTGGATATTCGTGACTGTCAATTTAAACAAACAACAAAGTTTATTGGGGCTGCAGTCAGAAGTTTGGCCGGGATGTTACAGAAACACTCTTTTGATTTTTGGTCTAGCTTTCGGAATTATTTAATTCCTTTATCAAGACATATCTTCGTACAAATACCTTGGAGCATGGATCACAGAAGATACTGATCAGACAAAAGAAATAAGATGCCTCATTGAAATTGCGCGGTCAACTTTTAATAGAATGAGAAAACTTTTTTGTAATCGCGATATCAATATATCGCTCCGGATAAGAATGCTTCGATGTTATATTTTCTCTACCCTTTTGTATGGAGTTGACGTTTGGACACTTAAAAAATCCAACATTAAAAACCTAGAAGCATTCGAAATGTGGTGTTACCGACGCATTTTGAAAATATCATGGATGGATCGCAAAACAAACGAACAAGTTCTCGAACAACTAAGAAAACAATGCGAAGTTTTAAATTCCATAAAGATCAGGAAATTGGAATACTTGGGGCCCATCATGAGAGGTGAAAAGTACGAATTACTAAGGAATATAATGCAGGGTAAAATCAAAGGTAGAAGAAGCGTAGGAAGACGTAAAATCTCGTGGCTACGCAATCTCCGTGAGTGGTTTGGATGCAGTTCAATTGAACTATTCAGGCGAGTAACCAATAAAATTATAATTGCCAGAATGATTTCCAATCTCCGATAGGAGTGGAACTTGAAGAAGAAGAAGAAGTCGTTGAGATTATTTGTACGAAGCTATGACACTCAACATTAATAACAAACATATAGACTAAAACTTATACAATAATTAATACAATACATTTTAAAATTTAGTTAAAAATAATAAAGAACTTTTTATATTTATTTATATTTACTTTAGAACTTTTATTATTTTTAACTAAATTTTAAAATGTATTGTATTAATTATTGTATAAGATTTAGTGTATATGTTTGTTATTAATGTTGAGTGCCATAGCTTCGTACAAATAATCTCAACGACTATGTCTTGATAAAGGAATTAAACAATTCCGAAAGCTAGACCAAAAGTCAAAAGAGTGTTTCTGTAACATCCCGGCCAAACTTCTGACTGCATCCCCAATAAACTTTGTTGTTTATATATATATATATATATATATATATATATATATATATATATATATATATATATATATACAATAAACTAAACGAATATGCAGAAGGAAAACGAGTAGATATAGGCCTCTAACAGGACCGCATTTAGGATTATCTTTTCGTTTGGCCAGAAGTATTACCTTATAAAATACGAAATTTATATTTTAATTGTGCAAAAATGTGAGACAAAGAACTTGATTGTTTTTAGTTGATATATGACAATAGGAATCATTTATACACGGCGAAAAAAAACAAAGAATTTTTTTATCTCAAAAACGGGGAGATCTAACATTTTTATATACAGGGAGTTTGAAAAAATATAAGTTTAATTTATAATTTTTGTTATTGTTTCTACGGTTCCAAAAAGTTTAAATATTGAAAAATAATTCGTGTGAAGGCGTAAATATATGGCACAGATCGAGAGTTTCACTATTGTTAAATATTATTTTGTTTATCATCAACGTTTATATCAAGTGGTTTAACATGTGTTTCAATTATATTGTCCAGCCGCCACATTTTCTTTTCTACTTTTACTGGAACATGTAAATTGCAGTCCTTTCATTTTTCTGGTGTTATTGAAGAAATTTCATTTAAAATAGATTTATGGCTTCTGAAAATTTGCAGGTAATAATTTCCAGTACTATCATTTTTAATATTTTCCCAGATGAGTTCTATATTGTTTAACTCAGAGTAAGACAGAGGAAGACTAAATATCAGTTTTTTCTGGGCTTGTACCTCAATCAATTACGTATTTATCACACATTTTTTTGTTTTTTTTTACGATTAAAAGAAGTTGTATTTTAAGCATATGTTACTTAACGTATGTTTAGTAAATGTAAATGTAAATGAAAAATGTAAATATTAATAACCAATTAAAATATTGATAGAAATATAATTTCAAGATTTTATAAGTAACATTCTTTATTAATTTTTCCTTTTTGTAAAAATTTTCATAAAAATCTTTGAATTTCAGGTCCATTAGGATTCTTGGCAACTGGGGATGCAGTTGTGCCTGGAAATAATGGTCTTCGAGATCAATCATTGGCTTTACGATGGATTCAGAAAAATATCAAGAAATTTGGAGGTGATCCAAATCAAGTTACTTTATTTGGTGAGTCCGCTGGTGGATCTAGCTCTAATTTCCATATGATATCACCTTTAAGTAGAGGTAAGTTACTAAGGGGTTAAGAATTTAGAAATATTTTACCTTTCTTTTTTAAATTATCTTCTTGGTATTATAACAACATATTTTATGGCTATAACTTTCTGATGTCCAAATATATAATATAGAAATACAATAAAAAAGAAATGCACGACAACAACATTTAAAACAACTTATACATTCTGTTAAACTGGGAATAAGCCCCAATTAAAGATAAAAATACGTTTATTGACGTTTCAATTTCCACTTCGGAAATCGTTCTCAAAATACAAACAGTAAATTAAACAAATTTTGTTTTTTGTTACATAGTGAAAAATTCTTCTAATAATTTAATTTTATCTGACTCATTTATATTGACAATTCAGACATACATTATGCATTTTAAAGTAGACGACTTTAAAATGATATTGCCAATATTGTTGAGTTGCGCTCCTGGGATGACTTTACTTATAAGATAGTTCATTCGATTACATGAAATCAACTTTAACTTGAGAATATCCGTCAGAAAAAATCATAGCATGTAATTCGTCTTTAAAAAGACAAACACATGACATGATGACAGTAAAATTCTCCTGTTAGTGATAATGGATATGAGACTCAGGTGTATAGAAAACCAACACACACCAATAGATATTTAAATTTCAAATCAAATCACAATATTAAGGTAAAAAAGGGAATAATTAAATCCTTATACGATAGAGCCAAAAATTACTTGTTCTAACGAAAATTCGTTCTTGGAGGAGAAACATTTGTTAACATCTGTTTTATTAAAAAATGATTATCCTTTATCGTTTATAAATAAGTAATTTTCAACAATCGATCGAATAGAACAGAATAACTTAGAACGAGATCCTACAGTATACACAAGGAATAATATGAGGAAAATAACAATACCGTACATAAAAGGATTATCAGAAAAACTTAAAAGAATAGGAAATAAATTCAACATTTCAACAACATTCAAAACAACAAACACGTTGAGATGTATTTTGTCCAAAACCAAACCTAACAATGAACAAGAAAGGACAAAGAATTGCATTTATAAAATACCTTGTGAATGCGATCAGTTTTATTTAGGTGAATCATCAAGGCCATTAAATGTTAGAATAAGTGAACATCAATCTTATATTAAAAATAGAGAATTTGATAGATCTCAAATCTGTAAACACGCATGGGATAATAAACATAGGGTTCAATGGAATAATTCAAATGTAGTCCTAAAAGAAACGGATGGTAAAAAAGAAAAATCAAAGAAGCGGCTCTAATTATGCTAAATGAGGCCAATTGTGTCGCAAATTCCTCGGCAGAATTTAGTAGGATCTGGTTACTAATATTGAAAGAGGAAGTTATTAATAAGAAAATACCAGTATTAGTAAGTCAGTAACATATAGAGGATACATCATTTATGTTTTTTTAAATAACGTAACATATAAAATCAGAATTTTGATGTTTGTTGAAGGTAAACTAAATTCATCACTAACAGGAGAATTTTACTGTCATCATGTCATGTGTTTCTCTTTTTAAAGACGAATTACATGCTATGATTTTTTTCTGACGGATATTCTCAAGTTAAAGTTGATTTCATGTAATCGAATGAACTATCTTATAAGTAAAGTCGTCCCAGGAGCGCAACTCAACAATATTGGCAATATCATTTTAAAGTCGTCTACTTTAAAATGCATAATGTATGTCTGAAGTGTCAATATAAATGAGTCAGATAAAATTAAATTATTAGAAGAATTTTTCACTATGTAACAAAAAACAAAATTTGTTTAATTTACTGTTTGTATTTTGAGAACGATTTCCGAAGTGGAAATTGAAACGTCAATAAACGTATTTTTATCTTTAATTGTGGCTTATTCCTAGTTTAACAGTAATTAATTTTCAATGCCACAAGAAAATAGCTTCAGAACAATAACTTATACATTCATTCCAAAACCAAACCCAACAACACACAACAGAGATCAAAGATCTGAATTTATAAGGTGCCTCGTGAATGCAACAATTTTTATTTGGGAGAAACATTAATACTACTAAGTATTAGGATAAACATAAATCATACATTAAATACAGAGATTTTGACAGATCCCAGATATGCAAAGATGTATGAGATATTGAACATAGAGTTCAATAATTAGCACAGAATAATCAGAATTTGGAAACATGGCTTATGCTTATAAGATCAATGACAAGTAAGTCAACTAGGAAATTGGTATTACTACCCACCGCCAATTATAAATATTTGCAGGTTATGAGAATACATAATTCGCATACATATGAAAATTGTTTAAAAATTATTTTCGATAAATGTAAAATGTATAATATTATATCAAATAATATCTCAAATAAGGATGATCTTAAAAATCAATACATGAGATTAAAAATATAACAGAGCAAAGTACCCATTCTATGTCGGAATAAAAATCACCTAGTCCTAAACCGAGCTGACTATTCTATTCTGGAAAATTAAGAAGAAAGCGTTCAAAAAAGCTGGTACGGGACAGTTTTAAGTGATACGTGATATGATATTATTGAGATTATTTTCGGTATGAGTCACAAAAGGAACATATAAATATATGAATTATTAAAGCTAGTCCCTTATAAAAATGAATTTTGGTTTGCAAATTTTCAACAGTTTATCAAAGCAATTTTCAGTAATATGGACTTCATATTATGGAGTCAAGAATCTTACAATTAAATATTCCACCTAATTGTTCGGACTAGATTTTCTGCTTCTTCCTCTTTATAAGAAATTCTGCTTGTTCATTTACGAATTAATACCCCGATGGAAGGTTGTCACTCCATCTTTTGCGTGGTCGTCCGATACTTCTTTTGCCAATTGGTGACTTATTTCTTGCTATTTTGACGACACGAGTCTTCTCCATTCTGCTTATGTTGTTACTCCTTTCGTTTTTCTATTTTGTGTCCAGTCATTTATATACTGTACGTAACATTTTCTTCTAATGTCTTTACCTCTCTTTCGATCTCTTAGCGTATTTCGTGTAATTATTCTTAGTACTCTCCTCTCTGCATTTTTCAGTAGCCTTTGCATTGTGGCTGTGTCGGGTCTTGTTTCTGAGGCATATGTCATTATTGGTCTTACACTGGCTTTATGAATTCTGGACTTCATCTCAGTGTTAATGTGTTTGTTTCACCATATAGTGTTATTAAGGCATTCTGCTAGTCTATTTGCTTTTTGTGCTTGATCTCTCACTTCATTGTCCAAGTTTCCATAGCTACACAGTTTAATTCCCAGGTATTTAATTCCCATTACTTGTTGAATACTGATGCCATCAATTTCTATTTTAGATCTGGTTGGTTATTTGCTGACATTGTTTTAGTTTTCTGAGATAAGATTGTCATATTAAATTCCTTTGCTATTATGTTAAATCTGTTTACCAATCTTCGCAGACTATCTTCATCTTGGGCTATCAATATTGCGTCGTCCGCGTAACAGAGTATTTTGATTTTTTGTTTCCCATTTTGTATCTTCTTCCTTTGTTAACGCTTTTGATGATTTCGTCCATCATCAAAAGAACATGGGGCTCGATGAATGCTCTTTTCTTATTCCGCTGCCTCTCTCTATAGTTTCTGTCAGTTGTCCATGTATTCAGACTTCCATTTTGTTGTTTTGGTAGATGTTTTCGATAGTTTTTATAATATTTAGGGAACCTTCTCTATTTTAGGAGACTAGATTTTGGTAATTAAACATTACCTCATTAGCACCTACAATTAGGTTGTAATATATGATTTAATATTTCGCTTAAAAAATTCTATAGGAATTATTGGAGGACTGCTACAATGAAAAATAATTTATGTTCAAAGTATTATGCAAATGAATAAATAAATCCCATTTCTATATTCGGTAATATTAACTTTTGTAAATACTGTCGTGTTTCCTGTGGAAAGTGGTGCTTTTAAATTAATTTATGTCCACAAGGAATCTACGTTCCTGTAGTTGGCTGTATACCATATATTAAAATAATATTAAAAATCCTTTGTAAGAGGTATATATTAAGAACCCAAACGGGCTAAGTTAAACATACAAAACGTTTTCGGAATTCATATTCCATCATCAGTGTCTAAGAGTACATGAATGTAGCCACTAAATATATGGGTAAAAACCCGTTAACAAATAATTGATTACATTTGGTTTACAAAATTTCTTATAATGATTTAAGATGTTGAAGTTACTGTTGGATTAGGTAACATGGCGACATATGACTCCACGTTGAAGTTGCTAGTCTTGAGACGGTGGGTCTACGAAGACTGTATGGGAGCAACTGTGAGACTTCAACAACTACAGTCTTCGTAGACCCACCGTCTCAAGACTAGCAACTTCAACGTGGAGTCATATGTCGCCATGTTACCTAATCCAACGGTAACTTTAACATCTTAAGTCATCATAAGAAATTTTGTAAACCAAATGTAATCAATTATTTGTTTTTTTACCGGGTTTTTACCCATATATTTAGTGGCTACATTCATGTACTCTTAGACACTGATAATGGAATATGGATTCCGAAAACGTTTTGTATGTTTAAATTAGCCCGTTTGGGTTCTTAATATATACCTTAAAAGGATTTTTAATAAATTTTTTAATTTATGTATATTTTAGGTCTTTTTACAAAAGCCATTCTTCAGAGTGGTACAACCTTATGTCCATGGACGTTTAGTGAAAACCAAGAAACAGAAAAGAATTCAAGAAAGTTGGCTAAAGCTTTAAACTGCCCAACTGATTCGAGTCAAAAAATGGTGGAATGTTTAAGAAAAGTGGATGCCAGAACATTTGTTGAACTGGATGATATTTTCAAGGTCGGTAATATATAGATGAGGTAATGTATTATGTCACATTATATTTGTTTGAGATAATAAAAGGAGGAACATGAATATTGTGGTGTAAAATCTTGGTTGAGTTTACCGAAAGTACAAGCTGAATATAGCTGCAAATGTCAACCATGAAATAAAATATTTTAGTTTCGCAGTGTTGGGATGTCTTTATCATTATTATGGTGTATGCTGCAAATAATGAGGAGAGAAAGCTTTTAAAAAGTACATTTTGATTATTCTATTTTATGAATTCTGCAATTTTTAATTTTTGTGAAACAATAACGAGTAAATATTGGTCTCTTTCGAGATTAATTGCAGACATCTGTTGCAATCTGGCAGCTGCTGATTTGACGATTGTCAAATCTATCCCCTAATCTATCAAAGGGCAATTGCCAAAAAAAAATTCCAATAATTAACTGCAACTAATCTCCAAAGAAATAAATATTTACTTATTATTGTTTTATATAAATAAAAAATTGCAGAATTCATAACATAATATAATAAAAATGTACTTTTCTAAAGCTTTATCTCTTTATATTTGAAGCATACAACATATGCATTATAAAAATATGCCAACACTGCTAAACCGAAATTTTTTGTCCCATGTTTGACATTTGCGGCTATAATCAGCTTAAACCTTCGGTAAACTCAACCAAAATCTTGAACAGATTTTTAAGAATATGAATTAAATCAAAATATAGCTACAAATGCAATGAAAACTTACATTAGAATAATCTAAAATAATATTTAAAATAGATATTTTCTACAGTAAATGTATTCTTTACTGCTTATTACATATAATATTATTGGGTAATCGTTTGTTACAATTTTATTAATTCGTAAACTTTTTATATTCTTTTTTTTTTGTTTAGGTGTCCACATCTTCAATATAATTTAATCAATATCATTACTTTCTTTAGTTCTCACTGTTTCCGAACTACATAATAAAGATTGTGATAATATTGCATTGGTCTCATATGTTCCAGGTGGTGAGTTCGAACAGTACTTATGGTGTACGATGTTTATGGTTAGTTTACTCTTTGTATAAATGGGAGTGCGCTAATGAGAGATCTTTGCTTCGAACCTTTTTACAAAACCTTTTAAAGGATGGGGTGTGTGACTAAATTAGGTTGGACCAAATGATTTTCAATGACAGGGATAGCAAGGTAATAGAGATTTGGGAAATAGTGGCGTTGTTCTTCTTTTAGTTTAGCTCCAGGAGGTTGTACTGAAGTGTCTACTCTGTGACGGTTAGATCGTTAATTAAAATCAAAATTGAAATTCAGTGCATCATAAAGAAAACCATCCTTTTGGAATTTTAGGCGTTTCTTTAGCAATGTGTGGAGGATAGCTATTGCTATCATCTAACCTGGCACAATTATCGCTGTGCAATGAGATTGAAAACCACCGAAAGCCAGTCTACTCATGTCCCATTTATTGCATTAAATCTGATTATCTGCAGTGATATTTTTTTTACATTCCTTACGTATTAAAATACTAGTCACAACTATAAAAGTCAAAAAATGTATAGTATATAAAATTAAAGTACATCTTTGGATGATGAGGGTATATTTACCATTAAAATAAGAATCACCTAATAAGAAAAATCAGTAGAATGAAATGTTAAACAACATATATTTATCAAAAGTATAATTTTGTTCACAATTAGATATAAGTTTTTCCAATACCAACCACCAATATATTTAGGACTTCTCTCTTTCTACAGTCTTAAACATTGCCAAATAGTGTACTTAATAAAAGCAAATAAAACTTTTTTACTTTACACAGCAAATGTCTTCATTCAAGTTTAACCATTACCTGCATTTCCACCATACTGCCTTCTATTGTAGTTTCCTCGAATTTAGTCTATATAGTAATGATAATTTTCAACACGTTTAATCGTAGAATCAGGTAAAACAGGCTTCAAAATTTTAAAGTTAGTTTACATTATTTGACAAGTATTTAACCCTAAAAGCTCGTGGAACGGCGCTCTTCGCAGGTTCATGTCGGCAAAGAGAAACAGAAAAAATATACTGTATAAAGGAGAAATACGACGCATAACACCCCATGAAAAATGTAAAATTGATAAATGTTTACTTTTTGATAACTATCCCAATGAAGCGTGTCCCCTCGAGATCTCGGTTTAATCGACCAGTGTTGCTGGTAAAAATTTTGGTACGGTGGGTAATGTATACAATAATATAAATTCCAACACAACTTCGTAATTTCCATGACAGAGATGACAGAAGGAACCTGCATTTCAGGGTTGGATATGCAGGGTACAAAAATGATACTTACATTTCCATACAACATTTTCGACACTTCCATTAACATGTTGACGAGCAGAAAAAACCAATTCTGTTACGGTTTAACACTTTTACTTATAAGTAAAGTCGTCCCAGGAGCGCAACTCTACAATATTGGCAATATCATTTTAAAGTCGTCTACTTTAAAATGCATAATGTATGTCTGAATTGTCAATATAAATGAGTCAGATAAAATTATATTATTAGAAGAATTTTTCACTATGTAACAAAAAACAAAATATGTTTAATTTACTGTTTGTATGTTGAGAACGATTTCCGAAGTGGAAATTGAAACGTCAATAAACGTATTTTTATCTTTAATTGTGGCTTATTCCCAGTTAAATAGTAATTAATTTACAATGCCACAAGAAAATAGCTTCAGAACAATATTTATGATATTATTTCAATGAATTAAACATATATGCAAGTATTACTTATTTATAGTAAATAAATTACGAAGTGTTTATCTTTAATTACATAATATTAATGTAATTGCTTTTAGTACACCTAACTGTATTAAATGAGTTTCTATATTTTGTATACTTTACGTCCTTTACTGTAAATCGGTAATTACTTGTCAATTTTAAAATCTTAATTAGTTATACTAGAGACAAGGCCAATAATACAAAAGTAATTAAACGATGATGATCAATCATTGTCACTTCCTACTTACTGACTTATTCTGACCCTGTTTGCTTATTGTTTTTAAATAGTCATTGCAATATTACTCCTATTTGCAAAAAATGATCATTCATCATCATTAGCTCTTTTGTGTCCACTCCTAAATATAGGTCTTTCGTAAATAATTCCGTTGCATCCGATCTTGAGCACCGTGTATGGTTACTGTTCATATATATGGTTAATTTGACTTTTATAATACTAAAAAAATAAAGTTCGTAATTAAGTTATGTTTTTTATTGTTTTGAGTTCTTACATACTCTAAGTTTTATGATTTTATGAAAGCAGAGCTTAATTAGTAATAGATATTTTTTTATCGTTCTTTTTGGTGTGAAACAGCAAAAAATAGTCATTTCGGCAACACCCTATAAATAGGACTAAATACATTTTTAAATTTTATATTTTTTTAGAAACTAACCTAAAATGATAGTATTTTACTACAAGTCATCTTAAGTGGTAGCTAAAGTTTAAAACTGTTTTTCTTATGTTCCAATAATTATTTTTTTTTAAATGTACAATATATTTGACTTTATTTTATTCTAAATTGCTCTAATGAAATTAATGGTAGTGTTTTTCAACTTGTTAACTTATAGTTTATTTATAATTAACAACTATAATGTTTTTTCTGGTTTTAGTTAAAAAAATTATGTTTAAAAAAATTATTTTGCAGGCGTTACCGAAATGACTCAACGTTTCCGAAATGATAACTTTTATACTATTTTAAAGAAAATGCACATTTATAACTATGTATTTATTGCCATAAAAATGAAAAAAGAACAACAAAACAAGGAACGCAAACGTAAATGGGAATTAGATAACTATTGTGTTTTAGTTTTATTTTCTAAAACATGTAGGGCAAAGAACTATTTCACTATTTTTGTTTAACAATGCATTTAAGGTGATAAGTTCTGCTACAGTCGAAACATTTGCGTCCTTCATTTTGGATGTTTAAACTAAAAGTACAATCGTAGCAAAGACCTTTTGTCTCTTTAACATTCCTTTCAAAAGTCTGTAATAAAATATTTGAAATTATTTTATTACAATAAGTTTAGGTATTGTATTTTTTTCATCTTCATCTAAAGAAAACGACGACACATCTGTTTCACAATGTTAAGGAAGGTGTATTCATATTAGTTATGCAAAAATGTATTATTAAATGAACTTTCATTAAATAAATAATTAAAGACAAATTATTAAGGATATAATTTTGCACACTGCTACGCAGTAAAAATATAACCTCTAAAAAAGGATACTGGAGACGTTAGAGAGTTTTTTTTGCAGCAATTAGTACCACTGATGGCTTCAAACTGTAATGAATGCAGGGCTCATCAAATTTGCATGCAAAACAGCTAAGTTTTCTTAAAAATAGTTTGTCTGCAAATTTTTTGCTCCATGTCACTTGGTGCATATACATAATATTTGGAACTTAACTAATATTATTTGGGATTTCAAGTTTTGCGTCTTTTATCTCTTCTTAGACTTAGATGAGCACTCCCAATTATTATGATAGGCATATTTCAAAAGTTTTATGATAAACCGAACATTGACCAAAAGTCCAATTGACCACTAATATATTCTTCTTTACGTGCTATCTCCCCGACGGAGGTTGGCAACCATCCTGGCTATTCTGATCTTAGATGCTGCTCCTCTGAATAGTTCGGTTGATGTGCATCCGAATCATTTTCTTAAGTTACATTACCATGAGATTCTTCTCCTTCTTACACTTCTCTTGCACTGTATTTTCCCTTGTATAAATAATTGAAGTATGTTTTATTACGCATAACATGTCCCAGGTATTGCAGCTTTTGTGTCTTGATGGTTTTCAATACTTCCACTCTTTGTTCACTCTTCTCGTGACTTCATTGTTTGTTACATGCTCGGTATATGATATCTTCAGGATTCTTTTATACATCCACAGTTCAAATGCTTCCAACTTTTTAGTAGTCGACGCGTTAAGTGTCCACGCTTTTATCCCGTAAAGCAGACTCGAGAAAATATAAC